GCCGCGAAAAATTCTTCCTTAACTGTATGACTTGAGTTCGAAACCCTTCTTTAAATTTTTCACCTCCTTTCTGTTTTACTTCTTTCAATTCAACATAATTAATACTTTACTTCTTTATATTCAATATAATTATACTTAATAGCAATATGCTTTATTTTTTACTTTTGTCTCATTTATAGTTAGTACTAATATATAATGGTCAACTTAATTAATTTTATTCTTTTTTAAATCCCTCCCTTAAAATTAAAACCTTAAGTTGCAATTTATCGTTCCACAAATAAAAAAATAAGAATCTTTCTGCCACAACCTTCTTCAACAATTACTTTGACAAAATAACATATATCTGTCAACTCCGACTCAGTAATGGGAACTAAGAGTTAAAGATTCTTCTTCAGGTCTTTGACTATTAACAAATCTTTAATTGTCACGAAACAATAAAAGGACAAGAACAATATTGCAGAGAAAGAGAGAGAGAGAATTCTTATTGAATTTTGGGATTAATTACAATGGAATAAAACCCTCTATTTATAAGGGAAAAGTGACTTAGCCACTAAGTAACAAACCCTCAAATCTCTCTAAAATATAGACATTCACCTTAAATAGAATTCTATTTATAACACTCCCTCTTGAATATCTATTCAACAAATAATGTGCCTCGTTAAAACCTTAACTAAAATAAAACCCAATGGCAAAAAAATTCTAGTAAAGGAAAAAGAGTACACATATCTAACAATACGCCTTTTGGTTACCTCATTAAAAACTTTGCAAGGAAAACTCAGTGGGACAAAACCTTGTAATGGAAAAAGAGTAAAACGCGTATTAACTCCCCATGATGAGGGTATCAATTCACATCCTTGAGCCTTCGCATTCCAATCTTCTGCACTAGCTTCTTGAAGGTTGATGTCGGCAGAGATTTGGTGAATAAATCAACCATATTAACTCCAATGAATATGTTGCATCTTGAAAATTCTCGCTATCACATTATCATGCTTATAGTTATAGCAAGATACATATGTGCGCAAATAACACTTAGGATATGGTACTTCAGGACCAAGAATTGTATATGCTTCAAGCGATTTAAATCTTTCAAGGATTGTCATATAAGTTAAGTCATATAAGTCATATAATAGACTTTAATTAGATGTATATCAAGTTTTTTATGTCTTGCCAGACATATTAGATAGATAAAGGTGATTGCACACACCATTGACTTTATACTTTCAAGTATTTGAACAACATAAACAAAATTATATGTCTTTCATATGAAACCAATTCTATTCGAATTGTGTCTCTTCCATTTGGCCAATATTTTTGTGTCTGTAAGCGACAGACTTAAGATTCTCATCTATATTTAGCGCTATCATAGATGTCGTCGACGAATATTTTATATAGGTTCCAACTTTTTTTCTTTCCATAAAGACATAACATAGAGATCCCTTCATTCATATATTCAGGTACCTGAATCTCTCATGAGATTTTATGAAGTGTTATATCATGTGATCTTCTATATCACTTGCATCCTTATTATGATCAGTTTGATCATTTGCTCATCTTCTTTATCAAGAAGTTTTATTTGAAACCGATTTGTCTATATGCTTTGAGCGTACCATAGACTTTGTCTTTCTAGGACTTAATATGAGCATTTGCAATGAGAATATAGTTACTTTCTTTGGGTCAGCAAATGCGTATGGCATGCTTTGCAATATATTGCAAATGAATTATCTTTTTATGAACTTCAAGTTCATATTATCGTATTCGAGGATCTAGATATACAAATGATAATTCATTCCATGTAACTTTTTCTCAACTGTTTATCATGTCTCCCCCTCATGTTAGAAAAACTAACTTGTTTCCTCAACTTTGAGCAACCATCTTTGTGTGTTATGGTGTTAATCAAAATATACACCGCACATCAATAATAATAAGATGAAATTATTTGGTTCCTGACCCTGAACCACTTGTGAGGGGAGAATGTAATATACATTCGTATATAACCTATATCAAACTGATATAGATAACTTTATTCCCATAAGCAATATTTTAGCTATTAAGTGGAGGCACTCAATAAATTATTCTGCTAAACCAACTGTGATGTAAACCAACTTATCAAGATGAACTTCTTGAATATAAAATTTAAAAATTATGCTCGAAATTAAATTATTGAGCAAGTTACCTCGCAAAATACCATATTGCGGGTTAATAATAATCGCACATGTAACCATCTCATAGATGCATCTTACATGGTATACATGGCAGGTGAATGAGCCCATATTCACCTTTGATATTTCCAGCATTCATGGGATTTAATCCCAATTTTAGTTGGTCTATTAATTAATAAGAACAAACAATGTAAGAGAATTCGTAAAGAATTTTCTAGTTCTTTAATATTTACCCATGTGAATTCTCTATTATTTTTGCACATCATACTTAAATTGATATGGCTAACCCAAATGTCAACTGAATAAATTATCAATATTGATAAGCTTCAAATTTACACCATGACATGTGCAATTATCAATAAACTTCAAGTTTATTATGATATGAGTTTTTATATCAATAAACTTCTACTTTATTATGGCATTCTTTTGTTTGTGTAGTACAAACTGGAGAATAAAGCGGGTAACTTTTCACATACATATTACCCCGCTACAAGTTGTAGTAATAGGAGATATTAAACCTTTCCTTTATTTATAGTCTCAGTATGACCAACCACTTTCGCGAATACTTTAGAAACTAAATAAGTTTCTTTGAGACTTACTACAACACAATATCTTATTGATAATCAATTTTATTTCTCCAAAATAGTGGTATTGGCTCTTCCAGAGCTCTCAATTAATTTTGTACTACCACATATTCATCAACATCCATATGGTCATATATCTCTTTCAAGGAGAAAGTTATACCATTATGGTCATGGTCAAAATTATATGCAAGATATGTTTCTTGCATTATTGTTGTCCTTTAATAATCACATTGCCAAAATATTTGGCGTACAATAGGTACGTGACCAATGACCATTCATGCCATAATAATGACATTATTTTCTTATATCATCTCAATTCTCCTTCTAGAGGTGAGCGTGGTATATTCGCTACCACCATATTCTTTGAAGAATGAATATGTATTTATAAATAAGATGTTGTCACATTCACATCATGAATGGACCATAATCATCTATATGTGGCTTTATAAAATCTCATGTCAAATCAATGATAAATATTACTTTCACAAAGTGAAAGATTATTTTGAGAATCCTTATTATTCCCATTATCACAATGATGACGATTATAATTTCGTCTATTGCCACGTCCACATCCATTGATACATTCACGGTAATAATTTTGTCTTCTTTCAGACTTGTCACATACTGCTATCACATTCTCTTAAGGGAATGAGAATGAAGCAAATTCAATGGGACGAGTTTTCAATTCTTTGCCCACAATCATACATGAATTTGATCATGGCAAGACATAAAAATTTTACCACTTTGGGTGGTTATAATTTCTTTCAAACTCCATTAGAGTTACAATCAAAATTTATCGTGTTTGTTTGTATTTAAAATCAAATTGTAGAATGTCAAGAATTTGAAAGAGAAAAGTAAAATGCTTACCTTAAATCCAGAATTTAATCATGAAGGAAGTTCATGGAACAATTGACAATCATTATGGTCAATTCCAAAGCTTCTACTCAATTGGTTAGAGTCTCATGCTGATAACGTGTTATGAAACAATAAAAGGACAAGAACAATATTGCAGAGAAAGAGAGAGAGAGAGAATTCTTATTGAGTTTTGGGATGAATTACAATGGAATAGAACCCTCTATTTACAGGGGAAAAGTGACTTAGCCACCAAGTAACAAACCTTCAAATCTCTCTAAAATATAGACATTCACCTTAAATAGAATTCTATTTATAACATTAATCTTGATTTCCTTAATAAGTTTTTTGATAATTTTTGCAGTTTGAATACCCTTTTGATCACTGACCACTTTTTATTTAAGAAAAAAATTTAGAAACTTTAAATTTCAAAACATGCTTAAACCAAACATCTCCCGTAGCACCCATTTTGAGAAGAAGTATCCCTCTATGTTCGGTGTTTTCTCTTTCTTTAGAACTTTATTTTGCATATACTTGGAAGATACTCATCATAATTCTTAAGTTGTCAAAGAGTTGTAGGCCGAATTTTATCGTTAGTTATTAGCATATAATGGTGCCCCGTCGTGCTCAAATCTTGGGTCCGCCTCTGCTTATGGGTTTACCTGACCAAATAATATTTTTCAGTAATTGTACTATCTCAACTGTATGTAACTTTGAATGATTCACAATAATTTTATTATTCGAACTTAACCGATATTTTCGTGAATAAAGCTGGTCAACTATAGCAAGATGGAGTAGTATACCTCTCACCAATTTCATCAAATATTATGATATTTATAATGCAGAACAGAATTATGTTGTGCATTCCAGTTCTAATAATTGCCAGGAGAAGATTATGATGGAAAAGAAAATAACGGGGAAAGAATAAGATAATAAGCATATTAGAGATGATAATTTTTCGTTTTAATAGGTCGCCGATTATAATTTTATTTTCTTCAAATTTATACATGTCATGATCAATTAGGTTTTGGACTTCTAGGGGAAGCAATCAAGTTGATCAAAGAACATAAAAGGACGTACTATATGTTTGATTAGTCCATTTACGTTGTCCTTAAATCTATATCACAAGGTTGTCCTTTAATTTCCTAAACTTAAGTAGAGAATATAATTATAAATAGTTGAATTAGATGCGTTTAATAGTAAGAGATTTGGACCATCATCAATATCAAGACATATTAGCATCAAATGTTGCTTTCATTTACTCTCTCTTAGCTTCTCATACGCACACACGTACTAACACTTTGTATTTTTCTCCATGTCAAATGACATTTCTACCCCTCCCATGCACCCTCAACCTTATATATACGTCCATAAAAAAACAAAGGGCACGCACAAAAGAATGAAGACGTGGTCCTTAAACATCACTCTCTAACTTTAATTTTCCTCTTCTTTTCTCACAAAATTCCCACTTCATATCTTCATCTTCATCCTTTGTTCTTCTTCTTTTCTTCAATTCCTCTTCCACTTTAGTTTTTACTATGGAAACAGCTGGTCATCATAATATCTCTACTAGTGAGGATGATTATAAGAAGAAGAAAGGCAGTTGTAATAATAATATTACAACAAATAATAACCATATTAAGAAAGGGTCATTAAATAATGGAGGGTCAAGTACTAATCAAAGGTGTTGTCAAGCTGAGAAGTGCAGTGCTGATTTAAGTGATGCTAAGCAGTACCATAGGAGGCATAAAGTCTGTGAATACCATGCAAAGGCTCAAGTCGTCGTCGTCGCCGGACTCCGGCAACGCTTCTGTCAACAATGCAGCCGGTTTGATCACAACTTTCTCTATCTTTTCTTTTCTCAACACAATTACTTTATTCTATTCCATTTTACATGACATCCCGTCGTCTATTCTAATCAGAACGATATAAATTTTTAACTTTAAATTTCTCATTTACCAAAGAGATATCAGAATATCAAGTTCCAAGAATACTTTTGGCATGCACTAAAAATCTTTCTTAATTTCTTTTTTAAACTTTTCGTTAAGTTAAACACTGTCATATGAAATCTTTCAACAACTAATTTATTTGTTGCATAGTTTACATTCGTTTGTTTTAATATGTGCTTTGGCGTTTTATTGTTTAGTTTTTAATCCATATTATAATGGTTGAAGCGTGAGATAGTTGAAAAGCTGGTAGTTTTAATGTGACTATATAGTAGTAGTGCTATTTTTCTTTTTAGGGATTGACTATATATAGTACTATTAAAAGAATGATTAGTGACTAATTTGTTTTAGCTCCTTCTTCTAGGGTATTCGTTAATGTCATTTTCTGTATCAGCTCTGTGGTTTAGTTAGATTAAAAACTGCCTAGATTGACTTCATAATCTATAAGTGGTTGACTAGTTCACTTTCTAATATGAGTTCCTTTAATATCATATTGCTGCTGATCTCCTTGCTTTCATAAAGTGGTTGAGGTAGATGCTAAAAATAGCATTGGAGAAGTTTCTTTTTAAAGTGGGTACAAACTACAAAGGCATCTTATGTCACCAAGTTTAGGGCATTAATCTTTGCATTTTTCTTTTTCCCCCCTTTACAACCTCTATCTTTTTGTCTTAGTGTATTTCTCCCTTTTACTACTTTTGCTGTTCTTCATCTTTATCTTTTCGTTTCTCCTCCTGCATTGACAACAACAACAACAACAAAAACCCAGTGAAAGTGAGATTTTAAGAAGATAATATGTATACAGACTTTATTTCTACCCTGGAAAAATAGAAATATTTCTGATAGATCCTCGGCAAAATTGTCTTCAAAATTTTCATTAATGAAAACATATCTTATGAGTCCTCATACTTGGCCAAGATTAGGGGTGGCAATTTGAGCCCAAACCCATCCAATTCGCCCAGAGATTAATGGGTTGGGCTACAAATATTTTAACTCATGAGTTTATTTGGACTGAGCCCAAGTTAACCCATCATTTTTTATAGCCCATCTGACTCATGAAGTAACCCAAATACAACCCATGAAACTCACCCAAAACAAAGGGATCTCAACCCAACTTATCTAGAAATATTCTTAGTTGCCCCATCATTAGTTTTTGTATCTAAGTTTAAAAATGAGAATCAAGGTATTTAAGTTTTAATGTAAATATGAATAATTTTGTAATTGAGTTGTGGTGAAATTTACTTACTTAGAAATAACATAAAAGATATTTTTCAACTTATAAATTTTAAATACTAATTTGTTTTTTAAGAAAATATATTTTGATTCTCAAAATATTAATAGTATTTATTTACCTTTTATACATAGGTGTATAAAAGGTAATAGACTTTATTTATACAAGATGAGCATGGTTCTAAAACATGGGTTAAATTGTGCGCGTTGACCCAACACATTTTAGCCCAAGTACACTTTGGATTGGGTTGCACAATGACTATTTATTGACCTAACCCATCTTAACCGGGTCAAATTTAGTCCAACCCGTCTATTTGCCACCCCAGGCCCTACCCATGATCTCGTTGTTGGTTCCTTGTGATGGAGTTTTCAGATGACAATTTAGTTAATGAATGCGTGATTGACGTTCCTAATCCAGATAATTTTCTTTTCGTTATTTAATTGATTTATTACGTTATAATTGTCATAAGATCAGATCTGTGCTTGTAAACATGACTTCAGATCTGATTCGTGGTACTTGTGAATAGTGATTGATATTTTCTGCTTAATTATATATATTAAGCAAAAAATGGTATGCTTAGATTGAGCTCTTTCGGTTGATAAATTCTCCGCTTAGCCACTGATGAAGCTTCACAGTCAGTACCTAAAAGATTGTAACACCCAGCGCATTAGTGATGTTGTCTACTTTGGGCTCAGCAAAGTACATATTTAGGGTTTTGTTTACTTATATACCGAGCATTTCTTCCGTATTTGGTCAATGTAATATTTGCCTAAGATGTCACAAAGATATTAGTTTAGTTACATTTATTTTTCAAAGTAAGTGGAATTAGTTACTTAAAAGATAAAAAGAATAACTATACAAGTTATAAATTATACCGATAGCCAGCATAAAATTATTAAACAGTTCATATGGACACTTTAGTTTAAAATGCTTTTACTATAATCTTGATACGGTATTGGACTACTGGTTAATGGTTATGCAAAGCCGTAAATCATTACGGAAAAATATTGAAACTGAGGTCTTACTTATATTAAAATTCAGTACGTAGTACTAGTTGTTTCTTAATTATGTCCTGATAATTAAGATGTTCTGCACTAGGTTAATTAATTGACTACATACGTGATATATGGAAGCAGATTTCATGAGCTGACGGAATTTGATGAATCAAAAAGAAGTTGCCGAAGGCGTTTGGCTGGACACAACGAAAGGCGAAGAAAGATCAGCTCTTCATCATCTGCAGCAGAGTCTCAAATTGCAGAAAGTTCAAGTAGAAAAGGGACAGTGCAACTCAATAATAAGGACATTAACATGATGTGTGGTCAAGTAAATGAAAAGGGAAGAATTCAGATTTCAATCCAAGAAAATTCCACTTTCAAAAATTTCCACCCCCGTTGAAGAAATGCCTGCATATTAATTAATTGCTCTCTCTCTTCTGTCATTCTCTCCAAGTTCTATTCCTGAAATAATCATCACTCACACGGCCATTAGTACTCCTGGCTTTATCTGCACTAGAAACAGACTATCAATTATTATGATGATGTATTAAATAAGAAAAAGCCAAGATCATATGCTTGTGGAGTAGTTGGGTAGCCGAGTACATAAAACATCTTGTATTTATGCAGGGAGTTGTTTACATATACCTCTTGAGCTACCATCCCTGGCTTTAGATTGATATGATTGCCTTATGCTATATGTTAGATATATGCTTGATTTCAATGTAATTTAAGTATGATAAAATTTCAGACTTGGTATAGGTGGTCACAGTATCAGTAGTAGTAGGATAGATGACTCATCGCAATATCTGTGAAGTTATGGTGAAATGTTTAGATTATGTGCAAGAAAAGGAAGGTGGGAAATTGGGTATGAATCGGCCTTCCCTATTATTAGGGAGCGATTTACCCCAAATGTGAGACTTCACTGCGAATCCTAACTTAATCGGACCTCAATGCAAGTACTTGTTTGACCAAAAGATATTGAAACCTTTTTGATTAAATCAATTAAAGAAGTTGAAGGGGGTAAATCTCAACCAAGTATAATAAGATCTAGCTTGAAGGATGCTAAAAATGAACAAGATAAACAATATTTCTCTATATTTCAGAACCGAACGACAGGTTATAAATATGACAACTTTGAATGTAGAGAGATATTGCAATAGATATTCTCAGCTTCATGTAAAAATTGTATATAGTTCTCAGAATTGTGATAACTGAATCTCCCCCTTTTACAGAGTGTTCGGTCCCCTTTTATAGGAGACAATATCCCTTTTTTACCCCAAAAGAAAAAAGTACAACACAAAGAATATTCGAAAGACATATTCCCATTGTTTCCTATCATGCTAACACGACCACAGACGTCGTGCATTCGTTAACTACTGTCAATTGTCGTCCATCATTACGATCCTTAAGACGCAGTGTCATAGGGGCCTCACTCTCTGCTACACTTGGTATCGGTCATTATCGTCCAAATTTCGACCCATACAGTTAGTCCCTCCACTTGTCGAGGTCGCAGCCTGGGGCGTCCTTGATAAGCGGATGTTGCCCGTGTTTACGAAGAAATTTGATCTTCAAACCATGACGGTTTCGGCTGATGACGGAAGAACGATGCATTTCGCTATACCTTGGGCGACGTGTGCTATCTTTGGAGTGACGTTACTTCCACGTGTGTCATCATGGTGCGTCTTCCCGAGGAATAACATGATGGCCTGTCGCTTTGGTTTTGCTGCAATGGGAGGCCCTTTTGCTTCGATTCTGGCGCTACCAAACCCTATAAATAGGGGAAGGGTTTGTTTTTTCAAAAACGTTTTGGCCATTTCTCTTCTGATCACTTCCTTTCACATTTCTAGCTTTGCTTCTGCGATTTTCTTCATCTCTTCTTTCTTGCTCATTGTTCTTGGTCTTTCACGTTCTATTAGCACATTTCCCTTCACAAACATGCCTAGAACACACCGATCACGTGAGGGGGTTTCTGACGCCACTCCACTATCCGTGGCGCCCCCTTCCGGTGGTGAGGACTTGATAGTGGAGGACGTGGATAGCTTTCCCACCGTAGACGAGCTACTGCCGAGACACCCCATGTCTTGGAGTGACTTTCTTAAAGATCCTCCTCATACTCACGCCCCAGTATTCTCTAAAACTGAGCAAGTCCACATCAATGCCCTCCGTGCAAAATATAACATTCCCGCTCATGTTGAGATGGTTCCAGCGGGAAGGGACTTCGTGGAAGTTCACAGACCGGGGTACTGTACTTTTTATGAGTACCCCTTTGTGATTGGTCATTCCTTCCCCCTTATCCCGTTAGCGGAGGAATTCTGTCGATTTTATCAGGTTTACCCGACGCAACTTTCCCCGTACACGCTCAAAATACTCCTACTGTTGACAAAATATGCAGAGTTGGCGAGGTGCGAAGTTACCGTTCACCACCTCCTACACTTGTTTTCACCCAGCTTCCACATGAGTACTATGGTGCATCCGAGGCACCGTGGGACAAAAGGACTGGTGGTCGGAATCGATGACCGGGCGAGTCGCAAATTTTGTCACAAGTACTTCTTCGTCAGAACTGAGCACATCGTGTCTGACCCCGCTAGATTCCCTGAGCGGTGGAACGAGAATCGTAAGTGTCACCACTTGTTTACTCTTTGTTTTATCTTCATTCACCTTAGTGTTTATTTGCGGCTCTCTTTTGCAACTATGGGGCGCCCACCCCATCCCATTGTAGGTATGAGGGATTGGGTAGCCCGTCTACTTCCCCATGCAGCGGAGACTCGAGACTGGCCTGCTTTCGTGAAACGCTTTGGTCCGAAAGTTTCATCTGGTGTGTGTCTTCCTCTGTATTACCCTTCGATTATATATCATTGTCTATTGATACAACTCTTTATGACGACAAGTCATGGAGCTTCTAGGCGGGGGGCCCTAGTCCCTGTGTTTCGTCGGGCCGTTGCCTCCGCACAGATGCAATTCACTTTGGATGAGTCCTCCCGAGAGGGTCGTGCCCAATCGGTACAGGTGAGGGATTCCTCTCGAGATATGGTTGTGAGGGGGGAGATCCCTTCTTTACCAGTCCAGCACCTCGTGGATGAGTCCTCTAATGGGGACGAGTTTTTGTTGAGAAAGAATAGGAGGATAGAGCTCGGGAAGAGCGTGGTCGTTGAGATCGGTAAGAGTAGGACGGATGCATCGGAGATGGCTCCGATACCCACGTTTATGGCCGATGCCATCTTGGCAGGGAGGTCTCCCTAAACAGAAGGGGTTTATTAAGGAGGGGGTCTGCGCTCCGTCGAGGGCGGTGCATCATCTACTGTCGGCGGGGGTTTGCGTGCCGAGGGCGACGGTTCGGGTTCAGACATCGACCCATGGAATGTTCGTGAGTTTACGGAGTGTCACACTCATGTAGAGGTCAGAATGAAGGGTTCTGATCGACACATAGTCATTCCTCGGGACTACGACTTACTGTTGGACTGTGATCATGTGGCATCTATTTTTGCCCTTTTGTGTGCTAACCCTTAGAGCAAGGCACTTAAAGCGATGAGTGATGCGGAGTTGTCTCGGAGCGTTTCTGGCATGGCTCTATGGTAATATCTCTCTTTTTATTTCGTCATTGGATCTGTGTTACTATTTTTGGCCCACTTGTTTTAACTTTTACTTCTCAAGCTATACACTCATCATGGAGATCGAGCGTGAGCATCGGGAAAGGAGGAGGACAACCCTATATAGAAAGACGTCTTCCAAGTACCAAGAATATCGCACCAAGCATCGTACGATGGTCGACATCTACAATCAGGATCGTGTCTTCCAACTGCTCCGCGAAGGGCTCAAGCAGAGGGGTGATCAACTGGTGTGTAAGGTCGAGGAGTTGAAGGAACGAGATGAGGACCTTATGAGGGCTGTTGCCTGTAGTAGTGAGCTTGAAGCAGCCCTCAGAGCCAGGAAATATGAGCTTGAGCTAAGCAGGGGAGTAGTGTCCGAAAATGCCGACCTTCAAGCAAAGGTAGCCAGTTTGACTGCCGAACTGGATATGAAGACGGTTATATATCATTGTCTATTATATATCATTGTCTATTGATACAACTCTTTATGACGACAAGTCATGGAGCTTCTAGGCGGGGGGCCCCAGTCCCTGTGTTTCGTCGGGCCGTTGCCTCCGCACAGATGCAATTCACTTTGGATGAGTCCTCCCGAGAGGGTCGTGCCCAATCGGTACAGGTGAGGGATTCCTCTCGAGATATGGTTGTGAGGGGGGAGATCCCTTCTTTACCAGTCCAGCACCTCGTGGATGAGTCCTCTAATGGGGACGAGTTTTTGTTGAGAAAGAATAGGAGGATAGAGCTCGGGAAGAGCGTGGTCGTTGAGATCGGTAAGAGTAGGACGGATGCATCGGAGATGGCTCCGATACCCACGTTTATGGCCGATGCCATCTTGGCAGGGAGGTCTCCCTAAACAGAAGGGGTTTATTAAGGAGGGGGTCTGCGCTCCGTCGAGGGCGGTGCATCATCTACTGTCGGCGGGGGTTTGCGTGCCGAGGGCGACGGTTCGGGTTCAGACATCGACCCATGGAATGTTCGTGAGTTTACGGAGTGTCACACTCATGTAGAGGTCAGAATGAAGGGTTCTGATCGACACATAGTCATTCCTCGGGACTACGACTTACTGTTGGACTGTGATCATGTGGCATCTATTTTTGCCCTTTTGTGTGCTAACCCTTAGAGCAAGGCACTTAAAGCGATGAGTGATGCGGAGTTGTCTCGGAGCGTTTCTGGCATGGCTCTATGGTAATATCTCTCTTTTTATTTCGTCATTGGATCTGTGTTACTATTTTTGGCCCACTTGTTTTAACTTTTACTTCTCAAGCTATACACTCATCATGGAGATCGAGCGTGAGCATCGGGAAAGGAGGAGGACAACCCTATATAGAAAGACGTCTTCCAAGTACCAAGAATATCGCACCAAGCATCGTACGATGGTCGACATCTACAATCAGGATCGTGTCTTCCAACTGCTCCGCGAAGGGCTCAAGCAGAGGGATGATCAACTGGTGTGTAAGGTCGAGGAGTTGAAGGAACGAGAAGAGGACCTTATGAGGGCTGTTGCCTGTAGTAGTGAGCTTGAAGCAGCCCTCAGAGCCAGGGAATATGAGCTTGAGCTAAGTAGGGGAGTAGTGTCCGAAAATGCCGACCTTCAAGCAAAGGTAGCCAGTTTGACTGCCGAACTGGATATGAAGACGGTTATATATCATTGTCTATTATATATCATTGTCTATTGATACAACTCTTTATGACGACAAGTCATGGAGCTTCTAGGCGGGGGCCCCCAGTCCCTGTGTTTCGTCGGGCCGTTGCCTCCGCACAGATGCAATTCACTTTGGATGAGTCCTCCCGAGAGGGTCGTGCCCAATCGGTACAGGTGAGGGATTCCTCTCGAGATATGGTTGTGAGGGGGGAGATCCCTTCTTTACCAGTCCAGCACCTCGTGGATGAGTCCTCTAATGGGGACGAGTTTTTGTTGAGAAAGAATAGGAGGATAGAGCTCGGGAAGAGCGTGGTCGTTGAGATCGGTAAGAGTAGGACGGATGCATCGGAGATGGCTCCGATACCCACGTTTATGGCCGATGCCATCTTGGCAGGGAGGTCTCCCTAAACAGAAGGGGTTTATTAAGGAGGGGGTCTGCGCTCCGTCGAGG